AAGAGTGCGGTGAATAAAGCTTCCTGGAGGCCTGAAACTTAGATGCTTTATTGTGGCCCTTCACAGCATGACAAATGCAAATTCTTTTAATTGCAGGTTTTCAAGCTAAATGTACATCAAAGAGTGATAGGTAGACTTAGAAGTTATCCGTCTTGGCGTTTTTCACAAAGCAAAGTGTGAGGAGGAGACTGAATTTATTGTGAAAAACATATGAGAGCTAGGAAAACCTAAATGTCAAGCCAGAAGTATGAGTATAGCTGTACAAGTGAAGGGACTGATGTTTTTATGTAGGCATGAGAAATGAGATCAGCATTTGGACAAATATGAATTAAGAGCTGTAGGTACTTCAGGTGCTCTGCATCTCAGTGCTGACTGTTTTTAAAGTAAATATGAAAGAGTCTCAGATGTCAGATTCAACTTCTGAGTTCCGTAAGGCACATCTTTTTCTTTTCTTCTGCCGATGGTGATGAGACTTACGTGTTTTCTGGTCTCTTCTGAAGATGCTGGTTAGCTTGCCACTTGGATGCGGGTGGGAAGGCTTCATTGGTAGTTGTGTATGCTTGATCCACAGGTTGAGAACCTCCCGTTTCTATAAATACTCTGCATGTGAGACAAGTGAAGCAGTGGGCGGGTGAGTTCTGACTTCCCCGTGCTTTTCCTCATCTGAAGTTTTCCGGCAGCGCGGTGAGGCCAGGAGACGTGCCCGTTCAGAGCCCAGCTGATGTCTGAGCAGTGTGTAGCCCTTTGCATGCAACAGACATGCTCTGTGAGGCTTGGCATCCAGGGGTGTTAAAAGCACGTTCCAGTATTTTCTCCTGGCTATTTCAGCTGCAGAGCTGTTCTACAAATACTCTTTGGGACAGGGAGGAGGTATGGGTGTTTCGCTGCAGCGGTGGCAGCGTGTGGGAGGGAACGGTCTGTAGGTTCAGAGGAGAGGCCTTGTGCCTGTCTGCAGTCAGCTGGGAAGGAGCAAGAGCCTGTTAGGGTTGTTCTATTTTCATGATAATCTTTCTGCAAAACTGACATCCATGTTGTGTTTTTTAAATAAGTAATTCTTGATAACTGTGGGCATCTTCCCTAGAAAGACTTTGCATAATAATTGAAACAGAGATGTGTTTTCCAGTAGCACTAGTGTGAGCCCTACGATGGGTGAGGATAATAATGTAACTTCTGATTGTTAGCCCTGATTACGAAGACTTTTTTTTAATAAAAGTACTGGATGTATCAAAACGAGCACTTCTGTGAGAACCTTTCTAAACCTTTTTCTTTCTCGATGCGTAGAAGTGTTGTACCAGTTGAAATACGTTTCTGACAGTTTTGTGTTCTCAGACGTTACTGTGAATACTGGTTTCCATTCTGTGGAAGGCATGGGATCCTACAGATTGGATAATAATGAAATCTTGAAGCATGAGCATTTCTTTCTAGTCAACGTGGGAATGAAGTAGGAAATTTATGGTTGTATCGTATTCTGTCAGAGCCTGGATGTGTTAGATAGAATGTGATAGTAGCCATGCTGGTTGGAGAGGCCGTTGCTGTATCTGCTTGTCGCCCAGTCTTGGTGGTGAAACGGTGTCTGAATGCTCCCTCATCTGCTCCAGGCAGAATTGGGTGATTTGTCATCAGCTGCCTGACAAACTGTACCAGAAGTGTGTTTTGGGAATGAGTGCAAGAACTGCTCTGACCTCTTACTAAAAAAATAGAGGTATGGGGACATTCAGTTTCTGTTTGCAGAGCGAGTATCTGTTCAGAGACCATCTGGTTAAAAGTTTCATCAACATTGTGTTACGTGTCTGTGGGGTGAAGAGGCAAATAAAGCCAGAACTGTATGGGATTCCAGAGAGTCAAAGTGAATGGTATCACAGAATCACAGAATAGTAGGGGTTGGAAGGGACCTCTGTGGGTCATCTAGTCCAACCCCCCTGCCTAAGCAGGGAATGGTATGATGTGCCACTGACTGTATTTATCACTGGAACATACAAAAGTGGTTGTGACGAGCAGAGTAAAATTTACAGTGGACGGCACTTCTAAACCTGTAGGCCATGAACAGGTCCTTCCCCACCCTAGTCATTCCTGAGCTGCTCACGGGGAAGAAGGCACCCAGAGTTCTGTTGCTGGAGAGACAGACGGGCACGTCTCCTGGCCTCACCGCGCTGCCGGAAAACTTCAGATGAGGAAAAGCACGGGGAAGTCAGAACTCACCCGCCCACTGCTTCACTTGTCTCACATGCAGAGTATTTATAGAAACGGGAGGTTCTCAACCTGTGGATCAAGCATACCTGTGGACAGCTGTGCCTCCTTCCCAGCCCAGTCTGGGGCCTGAATAAGCTGGGGCCTGAATGACCTGTGCGTACGTGCACTGCACAGCCTGCACATGTAACTGCGGCAGCTCTCTTCTGCCCTGTATGTCCTGGAAATAATGGCGAGGATTGAATGTGTGTTATGCAGCTAGTCTCTCTGAAAATGAAGTACTGCAGCTTTCAAGAAGGAAACATCTGTACTCAGATATCCTGTGTTAAGTACATTCAAATTCCCACAACATAACTGCACAATAAGACCTTGCCATTGAGGGGGGGGGGCAGAAAACCCCGGACTGAAGAACAGTCTCTTCCTACTTAACAACCACAAAATGAATGATTTTTCTTGCTGTTGCACAAACCTGGCACTCTTCTGTACCACAAGTTGGAGGGAGAAACAATGTCAGGGTCTCTCTCTTCCTGACTGCATTGAACTGGAAGTACCAGGTGGTGCAGTTCTGCAGGAAAAGGAGCGCTCATGACACTTGCTTTCATTTCTGTCAGAAGCTTAAGATGCAGAGGCTGAAGCAGTGCATTCGTATCAAGCCAGTGTGTTTTGGTGTCTGCATCTGAAATTCAAGGCTTTGAAGAAGTTCTCTGTGCCAGCCCTGCAACAGGAGGCAAGGGTGTCTATAACCTCAGCTGGCGTTGGCTGGAAGTATGGGTGGGAATGGAAGTTTTGGTGTCCGTTGTTTGCTGACGTAACCAGCTGTTCTGCAAAACTCTGGGCAGGCTTGGACGTGGTTTGCATGCAGCTGGCCTTGCATGAGTGCTCTTCACAGAGGTCCTCAGGAATCTGCTTCACGGCGTAAATAATCACAGCTCTGATCCTCTTTTGTACGAGAGTGAATTTGCTTCTCAGGCACCAGCCTGCTTCTCAAATCAGTCTCCGCCTTTGAATTTCTTTCTAGGTTGCCACTGGATTAATTCTGTGTTGTACTTGATGACATATATTTTACAGAAATGGCACATTGGTGGTGTTCTAAGATGTTTGTCTGCAACTTTCTTCCAGGTGAACGAGTGCTTTGTTTTCATGGACCTCTCCTTTATGAAGCAAAGGTGGGTGTGGTTACTGCTGCAGATGGTTTTGACTGTTCCCCAAGAAAATAAGGAATTGTATTAGTTTACCTGCTGTGCCTCACTAGATGGGATTAAGGGCTGAAACTAAAATGAACAAAAACCTGATAATCTATGCAATAGGTTTTAAATCCTGGAGCTCTGCATTATAGAAAAAAATTCAGAAAGCCCGGTGGTACTATGTAGCTACTCTGGTAAACTGCTAAAGGCCGGGTGGTCTTATGTGTTGAACACCCAATACCCCTGTGTTCCCAGAACGCTGTGCTCGTGGGACTTGGTGCTGCTGCTAGTGCATGAGCGAGCAAGTTAGCTGCAGTTTGAGCTTCCTCAGAGGTGTAGGTGGCTGAGTACAATCAGTGGTCTTCAAATGGGACAACGCTGCAGAAGATAATGCTGGGTTAAAGTGACAAAGGAAGCGGCATTCTCAGTTCTGGCTTTTTAACTGCAGAAGCCACGCATTGCAAATTTATGACTTGGAGTATCCCTGCTGCTTCAGTTGCAGGCCTCTGCTGCGACACTCTCAGTGGTGTGCTTTGCTTGTGGGCTTTAAGCAGATGTCGCTGCCATGCCATCTGTTTTACTGAGGGTAGAGCTCCTAATTTAACCGTCTGTTTCCACTTCCTCCGAAATTGAAACAAAGGGCTTTTGTAGCTGTGTGGATTAGAGGACTTGCAGAAATTCCTGGTGCTCCTTAAACAGAGATTTTAAATCCATTAGGTTGTAGTGCCAGTAAATGTTAACTGATGGGACAACTTTGGAGAAGTGGTAGTAGGGAGGCAGCTAGAAATACTTGACATCTCTTTTCATGCTATCAGGAGATAATTGTTCTAATGTTAAAATAGCATCCAGATCACTGACAGGGGACCTGCTTGTCTAAAACATTTTCACTGTAGGGATTCTACTCTCTTTTCTCCCTTGCTCTAGAACTGGAGAACAAGTTCGTTGTGAATGTATGCTCAGTGTTGTCTTCTGCTAGGGCCTGCCCTGGTGCTGGTACAGAGAGGAGAGTAATCAAGGCTTCTACTTTTGTGAAAACAAACTTGTGTTAGCAGCAGACTTAACTGGTCAGTTAAACAGCCCAGAGCTGCTACGGTGGCGTGCTTCTCCATGCAGTGTCCCTCGTCTCCTTTATGCGAGGGTGGAATGAGTGTTGCAGGAACTGGCTCTGCCAGCTTGGTGCTAGAAGGGATTTCTCGGTTGGCAAGACAGCTTTTGGCTGGCTGTTTATATTGCAAGTCTGCATCCTTCTGGGCTCTCGACATGGCAGAAGGAACTGGGTTTAATTTTACAAAGATACTTTGTAGGTAGTAACCATAGATTTTTACCTGTTCCTTTGATCTATTTTTCTTCTGTGATTCTCAATACAGAAGTTGTTTCATTCCTGGTGGCCATATCCTTCGCTTCCCATAGCAAGATGACCAGAGAAGCACTGGTGTTGGTGTCAGTGTAGTATGAAAAATTGTGACAAACAGTAACTGTACATCTCTGTACAGTGCGGAGTTAAATGATACTCAACACACTTCTAACCTCCAGCAGGAAGGAAAACATTTTGGTACAGAAATACATTTGAATCTTCTTTTACTTCCTGCTCCCTTACATTCTTCAAACCAAATAGGCGCTTCTTAAGCACACAGTCTGTTCGACTGTCAAAATGAGCCACTGGTGCAGCAGTGTATTGACAAGATGAGGATATCCTTACTCCTAGCTGCAAGTCTAGGTGAGACTGAGTTTAAGTTCCCTGTGTGGCATTTTTGAAATCAGTACTGAAATATGATGTTCCTCTCTATGCTGACAATTACTTTTTTTTTTTAATTGGAGAGGGTGCAGGAAGGAATTGCCACAAGAGTTGAGAAAATGCTGTACAGCAAAAGGCTCTGCCCTCCCAAATACTTAGAGGTACCTCAATTAGCCTGACAAGAAGATGGCAATTATGACTTCTATGAGTCATTTTTTACTTCACTGGAAAAATATCCATAAAAAAAGGACTGAAAACTAGAGCCGAAGAGGGTGATTCTTCATGTTTTACGACACCCTTGTTATCTGGCTGTTGGAGTGGTACAGTGGCATCTGTATCTCGGTGTATCGAGAGCAAGACTTGATACCTTGCTGGAGGAAGTGCCTATCCAGGCAGAAGCAGATGGATTTAAGTTGTTACAGCAAAGAAGTTCAGGGGCATGAAGTGAGTTATGTAGTTTCTGTTCTGGGCTATGTTTTTGCAGGAAGAGGCATGTCTCTGGCTATGTTTTTCTTCTGTATAGTTGTGGTAGCTTGAGCTCTTACGTGCCAGACTGCAGGGGTAGGAGGAAGTTGTGTTGTTACCGGGCAGCGTGCACGCTTGTTCCAGCTCCCCTGAGCATACTCCTCTGGGTGAGCTGAGGCAGGGTCTCGCAGGCTGCGAGTAAGGCTGTGCTAAACTGTAAGGCAGAGAAGTTTGAGGGTTGCTTCTGAATCTAAGTGATACTCTGGAACGGTTAGAGCTACCTTGTTGCATACGTGTTCCCTCTTTTAATGGTCTCGCCTTAATACCAGTGTATGAGGAAGTTACTGTATTCATCGGCCAGTCTTTTGATGGAAATAACTGCTTTTATTTACCTCATGTACACATTCTTAACCTGGACAAAGCCCTTACTGCAACTCTTTCTACTGAATATAATGCTCTCTCTGTGACTGTAGAGATCCATATTATTTATTTTACCTTTGAAGACTCCTCTACTTCAGCCAGCTTACCTGTCTGTGAGGTAGGGGCCTGCATGTGAACAAGCTCTCTAGTGAATGGCTTTTGGCTAACCTGGGGGTAGTGAAGTGACTGCTTGTCTACTCTTCTGGTCATCCTTGGGGGTTTCTGAACCTTCTCATGAATGAAGGTGTCCCTTTGGATAGCTGAGCAGTCGCTTGTTTGCCTAGCCCTTTCGGACCCGTAAATAGGCAGTAACGTGTTGGAGAACTTACTTTCTGCTGTGAAATAGCTGCCGGTATTTCAACTGCTTGCATGGAAATCTCTGCATGTTTTAACTCTGAAAGCTAAAAAAGCAAAACTCACTCAGACCTTGTTGTTCTCTTTGGTACTGACTGAACTTTCTTCTCTGTTCCAGTGTGTAAAGGTTGCCATAAAGGACAAGCAAGTGAAATACTTTATCCATTACAGTGGTTGGAATAAAAAGTAAGTATTGCGTAAAATGAAAGCAGTGTTTCATTTTCCTTTATGGGAAAATGCAGGCTTTGTCAGCTTGAATGCGAGCTAGCTGGACTAGCACTACCATGTCCCTCTTGTTAGGAGACTGGTTCTGAGATCGACCTAAATGGTTTTTATACAGAAGCCAGTGATTTATAGCAACACAAAGAAAACATTGCTGAACTAACCGTTTCCCCCAGAGCTTTGGCTGTGTAGGCAGGGTAGCTTCGGGTGTCAGTAGACTAATGGAAGTGCTTTATAGCGTTCTGTTTGTTCAAGTTTGAAAACAGTTACTGTAATTCCTCCCTGGCAGAAATATCTAGTACAAAAACTTCCTTGTTACACATTGGTAGGAGAGGCAACCCCTGCTGAAGTGGAGCAGAACTCTCTACTCAAATACACAGTGTACTTTACTTTTATACCGCTTCTGGCAGCAAAGTTGGTGGCAAAGATTTGGAGCAGCATGCCTCAGCGAAGGCCGTGTTCAGGACGGGAACGGCTGCCTGGTTTAGTCCTTCACAGGAGTGGGTTTACCTGTATTTCAGTTTTTGCCTCTCATGCTGAGGTCGAGTTAGAGGTGCTTTTTCCTTTGCAAAAATAGTAGGATTCTAGGTGAGGGATTTCTGAAGAATAAAGATGTCTCCATGAAACAAATGTTTGGCCTATTAAAGGTGAATACTGAGATTATTGCATTTATGTACTTGTCTTTTTTGCTTTGATTTGAATTCTGTTCTGCCACGAAGTTCTGAATTTAGGAAAAGTGGAGTTTTTTCTTGGCAATTAAAAGCTTCAGCTCTCCAAACTCAGAAGTGTTTCAGAGAGCACTTTTTCCTGTGTTGTTGGGTTTTGTTCCCTTTCAATGCTGCAGACTCCAGAGCGCAGACTCTTAGTCATTAGTGTTGCGATCTCACTGATGTGACTAAAAGCTGAACTTCATGTTTTAATATGCAACTTTTAAATATGTGTCTGCTCACCCCCACCCCCCCTGCCAAATGGACAGATAAATGTTTTATTGTAAACACCAGCAGTTACAGGGAGTGTAATTGATTCTCATGGTGGCTGCTGTATATTAATGAGGCAGCGTAAATTTGATACTTCCTCCTCTTGTTTATCTCTGAAGGGTGCCTTAAGTGATGTCGTGCCTCCTGCTTTTCTTGCTTGCGCTGTTTGAGTTTTTTTGCCTTCAAGCTTCCAATTAACCACATTAAAAGTGGCATTGCTGCAAGATCTAGACAACTTGGGCGATATGACTCTGTAATTTTGGTTTCTATAATTATGGTCTTTTGTTACTTGTTAATTGCTCGATGACTTAATTTTTTTGTGAATATCAACAGTTAGGATACCAAAAAAGTTTCTTCATCCTACAGTGTAATGTGCTGCACAGTTACATAGCACGTCGTTTGAAGGTCTCTTGCATCTGTACAGACAGGGTTAAGATAAGTGGCTTAAGTACCTGACCAAAGCACTATCCTAAAAACATAGTTTTAGAATCTGTACAGCTGGACATGTTTATCTGTAACTTCTGGATGATAAGCTTGTCTTAACACTCTTGAAGACCTTGTGCTCCTGTAGTAGTATTGGTTTTGCCACCGTGATGTTCCGAGACTGGCAGCTATTGCCATGAAATGAAAATGACACAGAACTCTTTCTATAGAAAGAGCTTTAACTTGCATACTTTAGAATAGCTTGGCCACTTTTAATGTGTTTTATTTGAAATAAATTGTCAGATTGCTCAAATTATCCACTCTTTGTCAAAGTGGAATTCTTGCTCATAACGGCAATTTCCCCAACACCTGTTCTCTTAAATCGTTCACTTCAGATTCTTCAAATATTCATGCCATCTTGGTTTCCTTCACAGACAGAAATCAGAGCTCTTCTTCTTACAGTAAGATCTTATTGCTGAATTTGTTAACCTATAAAATGTTGGAATAGATAAAGGAAACTTGCTTCATAATACAGTTATGGCTACAGGTGTCCTATAATTTAGTAAGTGTAGAATATTTTTTTTTCCTGAGATGCTTCTTTTAAGTTAAAGACAGGTCCCCCTTCCTAAATTGCCCATCCTTCAAGTTTGGGAAACTCTTTGGAAATGACTGAGGGTTATACTTCCCTAGAACAATCGTTCAGCTTCAGTCAGTGGGGAATACGTTTGGTAATTTATACTTGCAGTTGTGCCAGTCCATGACTTGACACAAAAGCAGAGTTCAGTCTCAAATTCTGTGCAGTTTTTAATTAACTGTTGCGTGTAGAATGCAATTATGTAGTGTTTTTGAATGATCGTTTGATTTTTTTAAATTTTTTTCAGCTGGGATGAATGGGTTCCAGAAAGCAGAGTGCTCAAATACGTGGATACCAATTTGCAGAAACAAAAAGAACTTCAAAAGGCCAACCAGTAAGTATTTTTGTTAGACGTCGTTGTCAGTAAATAATGTTTTTAAAGAGCCTCAATCCAACAACTATTTCTCAAGGGAATTTAGTGAGTTAAAAAAGCCTTCAAGAGGTGTTCATATGTTAATTTATTCTTGAGATGCTTTGGCTTACAGAGATGTTCTGATCTTTGTCCACTAGCAGTTTAGAAAGAGCAAGCTGCTACTTAGTTTTAAAATGGTGACTTAAGGTTTTAAGGAAAAGTAGGTTGATTAGAGAGAGGCAGCCTGACATCCTGTACAGCCTGTAACATGGAAAGGAGGTGGCTAAAAATTACTGTTGTGCAGTATCCTTAAAATATAGTGATGAGTGGTAAGGATCTTCCTAGACGGCTTCAGTATGCCTACGAATAGTTTGATTTTTATGAATGCGAATCTTCCATTTCTTTAATGGAAATGCTTTTACTGAGAAGCTGTTTCATACTTTTTCAGAAGCAGTGTGCTGCTTCCACGTGGTTCACAATAACAAGGGTGGTGGGAGGTGGGGAAACGAGTGTTCATACTGCTTGCTGGGTGTTTTATGAAGCCCAGATCTTCTTGGTATTGAGTTGAATTTGTTGCTGCTCATGACACGTACTGATTCGCAAAGCTGTTTACTAGAAATTCTTGAAATGTTTTGCATGACTTGTTACCCTTTGGGGGAAAACAAGCTTCTTTTTCCATTAAAGTCTTATCTATGAATTTACTCTTTTTAAAGGGAACAATATGCAGAGGGGAAGATGAGAGGTGCTGCTCCGGGGAAGAAGACTTCTGGTCTGCAGCAGAAAAATGTTGAAGTGTAAGAAGCTTTTTATTTAAAAAAAAAAACAACAACAAAAAAAAACCCACCCAGAAAGCCTCCCAAGCTTTTGCTTGTCAGTTTTACTATTGAATTTTAAATAGCGTACATAGTATTTTTCTTAGAATGGTTCTGCAGGCTAAACTACGTTATTTCTGACACAACCCATACAAGAGCTGTGTTTCACTTTTATGATACCACAAAGGCCTTTGAAGTATTTTATTAAAACTGCCTTCTTAGATTGTGCCGTGTTTAATACTGAATCAACATACTGAGTAGCCGCTAACACTCTATACTTCTTTTGCACTCTGTTCCTCTAAAGTTAGTGAAGTGACCCTCAAAAACTGGTGAGTCCTCGTAAGACTCGTGTATCTTGGTAAAATCAGTTTCTGTATGGAATTCTACAGTTCCTTCAAAGTGTACCAGCACTTTGAATGAAATCCGTAAAATGCCTTGCCTTCTTACTGTACAATTGTTAAAACTGTGTAAGGAGTCTTTGGTTTGCTGTTTTTGACAAAACTAAACCCATATGCTATTAAAAATGGTTTTTCATCTTAAGAGACCAGAAGCAAGTTCAGACATTTATTGGAAAAAATAATTTCAGGCTGTAACTATCAGACTTCTTTCATTCCATCCTCCTTGTTTTTCAGAATAGGCTTGTATGGTGGTACGTTTAGGTTCCCATGCAGTTAGTACAGCTCTACTGCTTTGCTCACGTGCCATAAAATTCTTCCGTTTGGGGTAGTACTTTGTTCTGAAGATGGTTGTTAATAGTGTGGAGTTTTGAACTCCTGACTTCACTTATGATTCTAGTCTTCATGAGGAAGCTGCTGAAATGACATAAATTCCGAAGAAGAGCATTTGGCAGCAGCCTCAGATTTCATGTCTCGTTTATGGGCAGCTTTATGTTATGAAATATGTATCATTGACTTGAGAAGTGCAGCGGTAGTGGGTACAGTTAATTTTTTTTTCTCCAGATCCTGAATGCAGATTTCTCTTTGGAATTAGTCAAAGGCTAGCCAAGGCTGTAAATTGGCTCCTGGTCTCTGGAACGGGGAGTCCAGCAGGTCTGGCCGTAACGCTGCATGCGTGCTCCCTTGTGGCCTGTTGCTGTAGATTGTGAGGTGTTTACACCACCGCTTTGGTCAGCTCAGGACGGACCTCTGGCAGGGACGTAGTCACCTGTTTGTCTTCATTTGGGGGTGAAAAACACCCGAAGCCAAATGCCTGTTTAGACAGTTCCTAATCATTGTCATTAAAATCTAATTAAAACAGATCTAAATTATGACCATTACTAATTCAGCTGCTTAAGGGGCTGTTGCACCTGAGTCGTCTTGCGTTTTAGTCAGTGGGAGTAGAATTAATTTCACGTCAGTGTGACACAGGTAGTGATGACTCAATTGTAAACGTCTACAGTTTGCATTATAGGGAACATCCCAGTAGTAACTTCAGGACTGGGTTCCCCGTGCTGTCAGCTTTAGTCATCCTGGTAGTTCAGTCTGGTTGCAGGGGGATGAGTTGTTCTCTCTGGCTGAGTAGACGCTAAATGGTGACCTGTGCTTGAAATCAAAGTTGGCTTAATCCTCTCAACCGCACCTAGTAATGTTGCATCCAAGGGAGACCCACACAGCAGAAATGACTGCATCCTAAGCCTCTGCGTAACCCCAAAGCTTGAAAGCCTGTTAGCAGGTCTGTCTTTAGTCTCTGGTTGAAACCAGTTGGGCAAGGGGAGTGGCTTTGCTTTTAGCTGTCATCACTATGAGGGGTTGTTTCCAGCACAGCAACACAGACAATAAGCTAATTCTGTGGAACTTCTGTTTCATGTTGATTGGAAAAATTAATTCCTTGATGGTGGCTTTTCAGAGTTGTAAAGGGGAAGAAGGGAAACTTGTCATTAGAACAGGAGTCTTGCGTTTTGAAAGTGACTTATAACAGGGTCCCATATGCTTGTTGCACTGATCTTGCTCCTAGTCTCTAGCCATTACCAGCATCCAATTTGTCCTTCTAAATTGTACCTGTGCTTCTTCCAACAAAGTCTCCCTTTTTTTCTTCCCTATTTGGAGGCTGAGGAAAGACTTTGACTTAATGTAGCAGTGATGCAGGGTTGTGATACTGATTAACCAAACTACTGCGTCTCACATCCTGCTTACAGCTAAAGGCAAGATGGCTTCTGAAAAAACTCAAAACGCTGTTCCAAAATAAAACTTCTGGATTGTTCTCTTGTTGTAAATCTGAGGCTGTTGCAGATATATAAAGTACTGATGGTGGGGAGGGGGAGAAACTGATCACGCAACTGTTCTACACTGTCAACCTATTTGGGCCTCAAAATTTACCTTTTATAGCATTCTTGGAGGATGGAACAAAGGGAAAGGTAACTTGTATTTTGAAACTTATTCTTCAGATAGCCAAACAATAATGGAAAGGAAATAACAATCTAAGCACAGCTTATCCTCCAGGAATGTTCAGTAAGACTATAATATGCTGCTAAAAAGGTAACATTTTGAATCTTAAATAGATTCTCTTTAAGGCTAAACACTAGGTCTGACATTCTTTCCTTAACTCAACCCCCATTGTGCCTAGATTTTTCAGACGAGATGGAGCGCATACTGTTTGCTGTTTGGAGACCCCTACAATATCGACGCGGTGAGTTAAGGATGGATTGTCAAACCGGGATTTTCATCCTGAAATCCAAATCTCCTTGCTTTCATAGATTTCTTTTGGAGACTCTTACAGTCCTCGGTTGTAATAATAATGTAAGCCTTGGTAGCAATTCAGTTAGCAATTATAAGTACTGCAGTGTATAAATTTTTTTTTGTTTGGTTTTTTTTTTTGTTAAAGCCAGTATGGGCTACCAGGTTGTAGTTTCTCTGACATGTATACCTTTTCAGCTGGGATAGGGTACAAGATGATTAGTCAAATGCATTCAGTGTGTCTGCTGTTTAAAAAGAAGTGGAGGACAACTGAACTCAGATTTTTGAAGCTGGGTAGTTCTGGAAGGCTACAGTTGGTCTGCATGCTTACTGTAGCCCGGAGTTCTGTCTCCGTGGGACTCGACAGCAAACTGCACGATGTTCTCGAAGTCTTGGGAGCAAGGCTGCTGTGATAGACGGTGTTAGAAATGTGAGCTTTGAACCTGCTTCATAATGTGCAGTATTTTTATTGTTGGTTTGAGCCTGTTCAGAATAACTCTTTCTGTAAACTGCAGCAACAGGTTCAAAAAGCTTTTGAGACTATTTGCAGACTATTCTAGACTATAAGCAGTATTTGATCAAATATGCATGAAATGCAGGTTGTATACGTATGTTTTTAAAATAATTATTCATCTTACGGTAACTATAAGCTATCAATAGAAAAAAAATTTGTATGGTTATTAGCAGGTTGTCAAAAATGAAATACAACACTGCAGACACTGGCTTCTCCAGACTGTTTTATGTGTAGCTCCACTGAATTCCAACTTCAAAGAGTTGATACTACCTTGATGGGCCTGTTATGATTAACTTGAAAAAAAGCCACAGTAAACAATCAGTGTTAATGGAAAATCTTGAGAAAATAAGAAGGGCAACAGTGTTCTGGAAGGAAGATATGGCACTGAACAACAAATTTGAGAATAGAGTCGGTTTTAAAATGACACATATGCAAGCAGTCTCATCAGAGGTGCTCTCAAAACAGTGTCTCAACTTGGGAGTTACTGTCTTCTAATAGAAGTCTTGTTCTTAATCTGAACGTATTACTCAAAACATATGCTCCTGCTGCATGTCTCTTGTGGCATCCTCTGCTATCTTTGGCACAGCTAGTAGCCCTCTCCCAAGCTACTTCAAGTCCTCTAAATGTCAGGCAGCATGTGAACACTGCCTACGTGCCAGTTGTCTAGGGCTGTAACAGCATCGGAATGGCTACACCGGCTCAAACCGGAGATTTTCCTCACCTTTCTGCTGTCTGCTGGTCACCAGTGACGTGTGCTTAGGGATAATCAAGTGAGTCAAGTCTAGGCTGTTCTCCCCCAAACACCCTTTTTGCTTCTAGCAGCCTGTAATTAAGGGACTTAGAGCTGTAGGCTGTGTCCATGTGATGGATTTAATAACCCTTTGTAGGCCTGTCTTTTATTTATCCAGTAACTTCGGAACAGTTGGGCTTCTGGCAGTTCCGTCATCTCGTGGCAGTGTGGTGCCATTTAAATTCAGTAGTGCGTTGAAGAGGGGAGGAAAGAGGATGACTCCTCCTGTCTTTTTAATGTCCCCTGCTTTGGTTTTTTGGTATTTCATGTGTCCTGAGGAAGATTGACTAGTTCTTCAAGCTTCATCTTTTATCTCTAGTGATACCTCTGGCACATTTCCTCTCCCTGCCCAGCTGACAGCTTGAGAAAGCCCTTGTCCACCCAGTTACACCCGGAAGAGGAGCTGGTGTACACTACCAACCATGCTTTGTTCTCTTTACCTCTTCTGGTTCCATTGTGTGCCTTCTGCGGGCAGGTTGCCTCACCAGGCACAGGAGACATACGTGTACATAATCCAAGTTTTTATCCTTTTGCTAATAATGTTTGATGGTTGAATTGACTATTCATAGGAATGCTTCTTCTAACAGCTAGTTAGTGACCAAGCTGCGTGAGCAATAGTGACTGATTTCGTACCGTTTTCCAACATACTTATTTTTCACACTTGAAAAAATATGCTTTCATTTACATTTTTTATTACTAGTCACCTTGTATTAGGAGCAACTTTATGATTTCATATGGCTTAGTTACAACTGTTGGTTTCTCAGTAAACTGCCACCTGATCTCCTTTTTCTGACATTTACAAGCGTATTGAACTCAAATGCCTGAGACCAAGTGGTAGCTATCTTCCTTCTTTGCTGCCCGTATCTTAACCAGCTATTGTAGGGAGGTGCTAACAGACCTCCAAGTCCCATTAAAGGCACGTGGCTTTTAGGAAAGTGAAGTACTTGTTATGGTCCACAACACTTTTATCCACCTGGTCATGGACTCCTAACCTTCCAAGGCCTTGGTTTTTCCCTGGTGTCATTTGTCTCTGAATTCTATTTTCTAAGCTGTTTTTATTTTTTACTGACAGCTCTCTAGACGTGTCCAAGAAGACACTCCAGATAAGAGCTCTGAGCACTAACGCCAGCTCTTTTCTGCAAAGATTGCTGGCTTCATGAGGTGGTACCCAAGGTTCTGTGGCAGATACTGGATTATCTTTCTTCTGATCAGTCTCTGTGGAAGGGCGAAGTGCAGCCTTTCAGTATGTTGTCTTCTGTGGCATCCTCTTTAGTCTTACCATTTGATCGTGAACGCAGTCCTGTTTTGGATACTGAGACAGGAATTTCAATATTATGCTCTTGTGGCATGGACTGCTTACTTTCCTTCTGTCACCTTTGATACATAGCATTTTGTTGTTGTGAGCTGTTGGTAAGCTGTAATACTGTGTTTTCCACTGACGATCCTGTTTCTACATAATTTCAGATGGTTATGTCAGTAGTTCATTTATTTTTGGCTTTCTAATTCAGTCTTACATTTTAATCCCTAACACTTGAATATTCTTGTTGTAGCTGCATGTTCTTATTCTGCTGAAGTAAAGCCCTGTGGCGGGGGCTGGGTTAGCTTCGCACCAGAGCTGATAGCTGGCCCTGCTCCACGGAGGAGCTGCTCTCTGACTACGGTGGGATGCACCCGTTAAGTCTGAACTGCAAGATCTTTAGCACCTTGCACCTCTGTTCAGTCTTCTAATTAAAACTCTTTCCACAGAATCTTCCTTGACACTTCCATGCTACTTTTTAGTCTTGTTGTCAGTTTTCAGTGAAAAATGGCAGTCAGCAGAGGAATGTGTGCATGAAGACTAGCAGCTGGGCTGTACTTGCTGTGTAAGGAGTTAATGGAAGCTTTTGTACTGCCCTTGTACAGCAGGATAGGGCTTGCTGTGCATGATGTGGTTGTGGAATGGCACAAAAGAATGTGTTTTAACCTATCCTAGATACCTTTCAACTTCTCAGGCTCCAACTTCTATCAGTAGGGCTGTCTGTAACCTCTGTGGTACAGATGCTGTGTCTTTCTCCGGGATATCGAGCACGCTGCGTGCTTTGGTTACCGCACACAAGAGCAGCACTTCACCGTGCACCGCTGCCTTCACCTAGTGAAGAGTGGTATCCCAGACAGTCAGCTGCACAGGCTATCAGAAGTCTGCCAAATGCTCATGTTTTGTCTCTAACCTTAGCTCTTTCTGTTTGTTCCCTAACTCAGATTTGTCTTTTAGACTTTGCAAACAGGTGGCTGCTCTGGCTTGAAGCAGAGGCGTATGGCTTGAATTATAAGGAATGAGGTGGGAGAGCACAAGCACCTGCCTAGAATGGCTTCTGGTAGACTTTGTGCTTCAGTAACACAGATGTGGTTTACTGGCTTAATTGTGGCAGTGCTTGAAGTACTTTATATTGTCTGTCCCAGTTTAAGACTCTGCTTCTAGACTAATGCTGAACGTTGTTTTTATCTTGTGATTTTAATTCTGGAAAGAACTCCCTGTTCCTCCTTGTTTACTCTAGGTTTGGAAGAAAATATGTTCTCTTCAGTACACAAGTCCGTTATCAGTGACTTAACTTGGCAATTGTTACCTCTTCCTGGAGAGAGACGATCTTTATTCTGCCCACAGTTTAAGCCTAATGCTTGTTTGTGACTTGAAGCTTGAAAAAAGCCTTACTCTTCCTATCTTCAGAGCTTCCTAGAAACTCTGCTCGCTTCCTCACCCAGATAAAGCCAGTTCAAAGCCCGAATACAAAGGTCACTGGAGATGGTGGTGAATTTCCAAGGAAATAATCTTGCATGGGTAAAGAGGTTTATCCACGCAATCTGCAATTTTTTGAGAGGTTTCAGTGGACATCTATTAATAGCAAGTAAACTGAAATGTGACTAGTAGTACTCTTCATTAAAACTTTCTGAAAATGGTTAGTAAGTATACAAAGTTCAGATAAACTGTCCTGACAGGTATTTGTTATTAATTTTGTCACTGATACTCTTGACCTATCTGAATATTTACATGTCATGTGCATTGTATTTCAGGTGTCTTTAAAATTTTTGAAAGCACAGCTCTTCATCTGGAATTTAAATAAGGGCTAAAGATAGAGACTTTAGAGGAGTCTGAAGTGTGTAAATGAGAAATAGTAAGTGTGGAGAGAAGCGTTTGGAAGAAGATAAATATTAAGGGCCATGCTATTTATTTATTTACTGTCACAAATGTTTCTAAGAAGTGTTAAGTGTAAGCGCGATCTCCCCTAAAAGTTGGTGGTGGAGTTGTAGGCAGTCGGTGCAGCTTCGTGCATGTGATTCTGGTAGTGCTATTTAAACTTCCCTTTACTGCTGTCACGGTAAAACCGTGTTTTCAGTGCTTTACTGGAAGTTAATTCAGTTGACTGAGATCTGTCTTGTCATTCCCAGCATTTCTGTTTCCTTGTCCCATGTTCTGTCTCTAAATGATCCCCGAAAAAAAGAAATACATCACCCACAAATCTAGTGTAGTTTTCCAAGAGAGCCTGGAAAGTATGAAGCATCCGTAGATGTTACTTCTGTGTCAGCCAGTACCACTTTTAGATACTCGGGTGTTCTTGGCATGCCTTCTGGGGTTTAGTGGATTTAGTGATTCCCTCCAAAAATGCTGAATTCTAACCTGCTACATGAAAAATCTTGTAGTATCGTAACTGTGATGCAAAGTCATTTCCCTCATGTGCTTTTATCTAAATATTCCATAGGCCACTGAGTATTTGCTCATTGCTCTGAACTTAGTGGACAATTTTTCTGGCTTTCTACTTTCAATTCTTTAAGTACTGTCATCTTTATGTTTGCAATAATTTGTGTTCTTCTTGCAGGAAAACAAAAAAGAACAAACAGAAAAGTAAGTATGTCTTTATTTTGTGTACGAGTGGATATCCTTAGTGAAGGGTCCTTAGCTGGAGTAAGACCTTAGATCTGCCTCAGCTAAGCTTACTTACTGTCGCCTTGTGTTGTTCCTCTTGGACTTTGGGTGTCTCTTCCTCTTGCTCAGGAGGAACGCATACTCTTCTGGTTTGTACACAAACTACTTCTTTCAGTTGGTCAAGATTTTGACCTCTTGCAAATGAAAAGCGTAGTGATACCTCCATGGATCTGTTGAAATAATTTCAGAAGTCAAACTTAGATTTTCTCACTGAGATGGGGTTGTGACAGATCTGCAAAGCTGAGTTGCTGGTTCCACAAATTCTTGCAAAGAACGTTACAGATGCTGATGTTGGTTTGGTTTTAGTGCAGAAACCTTCATCTTCAGAGAAGCATAAATATAGCAGTTGAAACTGTCACAGATGTGTGGGACTTCCAGAATACAAGTAATAGTAAAAACAAAAAACACCAAAAAAACCCCAAGCAAAAAAAAACACCCCACAAGCAAAAAGCTGACTTGAGAGAAATCTGAATCTTACTTTTAAATCCTTACTCTCATTTTTTTTTTTACTGGTATTTCTTACTGACTTTCCAGATTTCTTAAGCAGCCTAACGTCTCTTTTTCTGTACAGCTCCAGGAATTGGAGAAGGGAGCAGTACCAGTGAGACTCCTCAGCCTCCGAGGAAGAAGAGGGCTCGAGTAGATCCAACGGTTGAAAGTGTATGTAGTTCTGATTCTCTTACAGGATTTTTGATACAAAATTTCTTGTTTTGTTCAGAAATACAGGCACCATACTTTGTCCTGCAGTATGACAGCGTGAGCTGTTACAACTTGGAAAAATAAGGTTCCCAAGTGGCCTTGAAAAATCTGAGCTATTTGTTTATTCCCTGTGGAGCCTACAGGAATTACTGTTGTAGTTCCTTAGTTCGGTGGTGTATTTCAGTTGTGAAAACAAGGAATATGGATGACTCTTAGCTTGAACAATTACCTGAAAGTAATTAGTCTGGCTTCACTTTTTTCAGGAAGAAACATTTATGAACAGAGTTGAAGTGAAGGTGAAAATCCCAGAAGAGCTGAAACCATGGCTGGTAGATGACTGGGACTTGATCACCAGGCAGAAGCAGGTAATGTGTCCAAAGAACAGTCTGGCCATGTGTAGGTGAGGACACTAGAACGGGAATTTCGTATTCTCTCCAAGTGCAGTGTAGCAAAGACTCTTGTAGAGTCTGACAGCAGCCTGGTGGCTGGCTTGGCAGTTCTTATTCCAGTTGGGATTTAACCAAAGGTCACCTGCGAGTAGGACCTTGGCTCAGCAGAGTTGCATGTAAATTTGTAGAACAGGCTGGGTCTAATCAAGCATAAGCTAGCAAGGCAAATAGTTTTAAAAACTTATTTAAATGTGGTGTTAGCTCTATGCATGCTTGGTCTGCTGGTATGCTTTGAACAGTCTACTTGGTTGGTGGAGAGTTGGTCTGTAGGAACGTGACATGTGATGCCTGTTTTACTTCGGCTCCTTCCTGCCTTGTTTAGGTGTCCCTCACTGCCAAGTTCTCAAAGTATCTTAAGTTCTTCTACAGCTCTGACAGAAAGCTGTCGCTTAGGGTAGCCATTCTGAACTTCTACCAGGCTGAATCTATATAAAGCTTCCTGATACAGTAAATTAAAGTTGGCTTTCCATTTTAAGTGTAAAACACTTCCATGAACTTAGAACATATTAATAGATCATGACTTGCTTCCTGTATGAAACCACTACTAAAACTGGCAAGAAAGCATAGAAAATAATACTGTTGAAACCTGTTATTGTTCGATAGGCTGCAACTGCATGCTCAAACTTACTGCTGCTCCGAGGTACTGTCTCTGTTCTTGCAATCCCAGACATGTAAAAATCTTGTTCAAGTTCTGTGTGATAAAGCAGACTTTTCTTGGTGAATACAGATCTTAAACTTGCATCAGCAGCAAAGGTGCTTAAGCACCACTGAGCTACACTGACTCCAGTTCTGGAGACTTGCTTTCACCCCCCGCCTCCCCAAATGTCTGTAGTGCTCTTGTGAAAGGAAATGGATAAGTGAACTGGGGCCCATGCCTCAAAAAACCCCCAAGTACATGAATTTGCTGCTGAGCCTTGCTGCATACAGCTGGGCTAGTGTCTGTGGGTGCAGATGATCTGTGTGTGGTACTAAAGATGGAAGTTAACCCGTGGTGAATCACAGCTGGGAATATTTGTCTTCAGTTTTGCGAGCTCCGATGTAGCTCGGACACTCTTCAGCCTGTGCAGGCAGGGGCCCCCCCGGCTGGTGCTTGGCAGCCTGCTTGGCTTCGCAGCCGTGCCAGGCGCTGAGCTGCTGGAGCAGGAAGAGCAGCAGGCGGACGAACAGGCAAAATGGTCCCCGTCGCTGCTGTGCCTGGTGCGTGGCCTGGCGTAGGTAGGTCCGTAGGGGCACGCGCGTGCTTTGCTGCGTGCCCTTCATGCTTGGGGTGACTTCAGCAGGTCGCCGTCTGGCTGCTGTGGAGTAGCACAGATGTTAGATGGAAACAGAGATGTAGTTGCTGTTAGAGATTTTTGTATGCACAGCTAAAACAGTTGGGTGTTCCTCTGGTAACAACAGCTTAACCTGTTGATTTTATTCTAGAAATGTCCCCGTGTACATTGGCTTCAGTTTAGCATGCAGATACAAACGTCTGCATAAATTAGACAACTTGTTTTTGTTCAGCTTTATTTCTTTTGTAGCTCTTCTATCTTCCTGCCAAGAAGAATGTTGACTCCATTTTAGAGGATTACGCAAACTACAAAAAATCACGAGGAAATACTGATAACAAGTAAGTAGTGGTCACTTCCAAGCTTAAATACCACTTTTGCTGTTGTTGTTGGACTTGTATTTCATGGGAAATTTAGTAAAGTTCGTTAAACATGTCCCAGCCCTATGTCCAGCTTCAGGTTTGAGACCAAGGTGATCGGGGAGTTTAGAAATCTTTGAGGAGGCAACTCAAGAATGCAGTTCTGCTCTCTGGATGTTAATTCTGCTTCCCCCAGCTTCCCTCAGCCTGCTCCTAAAGGAAGCCGATAGAAGCCCAGTGAAGCGTTCTCCACCCCTTCATTCCAGCTCAGGCTTCCTGTGTTGGGTGAACAAAGGCGTTGGCACTTGCTGCGGATGAGCTGAAAGCTACCGAGCAGATGAGCAAAGTGTGGCTGTGTGGGTGGACCCTCTCGTGGAGGTAGAGGGGTGGGGGTCAGGGAGGCAGGCGATGACTTCTAAAAGCATCAGATGAGCAGAGCTAATTACCTTGAGGTGATAGCTTTGAAGATTCGTGTTTGTAATTACCCCAGCAGTCCAGCCCTGACAGCAATCAAGGTGTGTTTATTCTTGACGAAGCTTTCCTGTTCTAAAGGGAGCGAAACTAGAAATGTGAAGCTGTGTTCTTCCATTCCAGAGGAAGCATATTACTGACTTGGCAGGGTGTTTTGACATTCTTTTATGTAATTGTCCTAATGTCTGTTCTAAATTTGTTTGCAGGGTGGAGTAAGGGTTATGCTTCTCAGATTTGCAGTGTCACTGCCAATTCCTACACAGTTATTCTTCAATTAGTTGTGAGGTTGGAGGCCTGTGGGAGCGTGGCATTGAGGCCTGGATGGAAAGGGCCGGTTGCCTGAAATGCTGGGTGGCCGTCCCCTGCTGCTGCGCAGGGGCTCAGGCTGAGTACTTAGAGTAGGGTTGTACTTTTAAACTGGTGTGAGTTGGGATTAACTCTGGTTGAAAACAGAAGAGCTGGTAAGTGTCCTTACGAATATCTACCATTGCTTTGAAAGGGCTGCTCCAAGTGAGTAGATGACTAAAGGCAAGGCTTTTCTTGGTTTGCCGAAAGTCTGAGTTCAGAGCGGTCCGTTTCTGAAGGTCTTGAAGTGTGTCGCTCCCCGCAGCTGTATGTTGAGGTCTCCAGACAAATTTCCTTGAAAACTCTGAAGGCAGGTGAAAGATCTCATCTTGTGTGCAGCCAGTCAGTAGAACAAGGCTCGCAGCGTTTCCTCCGTTTCCAGGGAGTACGCAGTCAATGAAGTTGTGGCTGGAATTAAAGAATACTTCAATGTCATGCTGGGAACTCAGCTGCTGTACAAGTTTGAGAGGCCCCAATACGCTGAAATTCTAGCAGATCACCCAGATGCTCCAATGTCTCAAGTCTATGGTGCCCCACACCTGCTGAGGTTGTTTGGTGAGTATGACCTCGAGGGAGTTGAAGTGTTCAAAGGCTGCCCCGTCCTGTT